AGTCGTACGCACTTCAACAGAAGTACCTCCTACCTACATGATTTCTGCTGATGATCAACAAGCACAACGTGGGCATGATCACTGCATTTCGAGCATGCCACACACTCTTCTCCTTCTCATGCAAAGAGGAGCAAGGTGCCATTGCAACGATGGAACACACAGAAGGCATGTCTTCATTGAGCTTTCAATTACTGATTACGACGTCTATGTTTGTCTTCCAACTTGTCTCCATTGCAAAGAGGGCCGAATATACTTTTCATGTGGAAAAGTACCACATGCTCTACAAACCAAACTTTTTCTCTGAAATGCGCCAAATATCGAGCATGTCCTGGTTGAAAACACCCTTCCCCCCTTGTTTGTAATAGTYGTTCTCAAGATTCTCCTTGCAGTGGAGCCACCACAAATAAGTTTGTACTTTATGARTACTTKYTACARSTGGATACACGCACTTATTGTCACACATCTCATCTGCCGAGCAGCCTATTTGTTCGGTCAACTTTGCCAAAACCGCTTCGTCTGTATCCGAGGGAGAAATATAATTATGTCTTTCAAGAACTTGTTTTGAGTTTTCCACATCAATCTCGATGCATCTCCAATGATAATGGACGACCAAAAACTTCGTCGATATGTTGTCTCTCACATTAATGGCATGGCCCCCAAGATTTATGTTCACATCACCAAAAAAAATTGGTGACGAATAAACCATTTTATATCCTTTGACCGACTGAACTTCGTCAAGTGGAAACTTTTCAGGCAATGCATGGATATCTTCTTTGCAGACCTCTTTTGACGGGACGGAAGGCTGAGTATATCCGACTCTCGAAGTTTCGTTCAATCGCAACGGATGATTTTTATCTTTGGCAAAATCAGCTAGATAATCCAAGATAGAGGCAGAGMCAGTCGTGCTGGCTTCATCATAAACCATTAAGAACTCGTCTGTATCCATTTTAAGGAAGACGTCGGAAGAGCCTGCAATATTCTTTCCAATAGAGGACAWGAGGGGWTCTAACTCATTCAGGTTGAWGTCGCCAAACATTACATTAGCTCCTAGATGATCTCGGGCGTATCGGAGAAAGGACAAGCAGCGACTGTCTGTGCTGGAGTCTATAATATAAAGATTCTCAAATCCAATGACGTACCCATGATACTGGACAGAAACCGGGCAAAAAGTGGAGATGTGCTGGTGTGAGATAAACATGCCAGAGCACAAAAGCGGCAAACTTTTCAATGCGACGAACTTACCATCACCCACGATTTCACCAATGGCCACTCGTTCATTGTCATGAGAATTAATTTAACMACAGCGCTCTCACTTCGTGAGCTCCAGTCTACAGCGGAGGTCCACCATTCATCAGACCCTTTTTCCAATTTTTTTCCGTGAGAATTGATTTTGAATTTAGGAAATGATCTATAAGGCTGCCCCAAAACAGATGGCTGTTCTTGAGGCAAGGATGCGTTTTTGGGGCTTGGAAATTCATACCCAATCGCTACCAAGGACTGTAAATATTCCTTAACGCTCTCCACATCATGAAGTTCGATGTAATCACGTTCATACAATTCAATGTACAGTTCGAAAATGAACTCTGGTAAAGTTTCCGCTTYGTTYGGGGACCAACTATGAAGGAACGCAAGCAAAGATGACGTCTTTGTGTATACATCAGCTTCAGCAATCAGGTCACCAAGATAATCATGTGCGTTGCGCTCGTGGGTCACAATAGGGGGCGTGTACAAAACGTACAACCCAAGCTCTGTCATGACGCGTTGCATGATAAAACTGCGCCAAATATCAGTGACACGCCCCGGGACAGTGCAGGGCAAGTATAGACCCCAAAATGCATGATATAAGTGAGTCGTCGCTTGTGCATTGAAGGGGGAATATCCAGAGGAAGGGATCAGCAACGGTAATGCAGTAGGAGAACGATCGAATTTGAATTTCGTTGCATCCTTTCGTGACAATCGAAATATAGCGTCGCTATCAGGGTTGCCGTTGCATAGCGACTGGATAACTCCAATGGAAGAGTATTTTATATCTCCAACGGTGGTATTGGTCAGATTCCATGCATCGAAGCTCTTCTGAACCTGGTCAATGGGAAATCCTCGGGGCCAAGAATGATGATGATCAGGGCCCATAAATGGATACGGATTGAAGGCATGCTCGATGATGACATCATTATCCGCTTCAGCAACAAACTTATGCAAAACAGTYCGTTCGAATCCTTTATCTTCTTCATAGAAGAATGGGGGCGGGATGGTAGCACCRTCTTCAAGGGGCAACAAGACATTGTCATCATCGAAGTCGTATATAACTTTTGCCCCGAATGATATCGCAAGCAAATAACCAATATTCTTTCTTGCAAAGCTTTTCCATGGCATCATTCTCATGAAAGAACTTGCCTCTAACATCTYTTCCTGTTTCAAAGCGGACAAATAAACAACATTTTCCTTTCTGGCAAGATCGTCGTAAGCTTTGTCTGGTGTGATTGTATCGCCCACAATAACGATGCACCAACCTTTCAAGTTAGAGATCCCAATAATTGATTCATTGGGCACAAATATAGTGGTAACAACAGCCCAATGTAGGCATGATGGAGCGGTCGAAGAAAGAAATTCCTGGAATGGATCCACCTTCGTTCCCGTTCCAGAAGCCGAAAACAAGCCTTTGATGTTCGTCGTCGTATCGTAGCTTCTGATCTTGGTTCCGGAAAATCGCACACCACTAGCTCCGCCTAAACCAGCGGTGGGGAAATCATCAGAATGTTCATCGTGGACGGCGGCAGAACTACAACCCCTCATCGGACTATTTGAACTACCAATTAAGAATGATTCAAAGGCAATAATTATGAGGCAACCGATGGGGATAAATATGATGAACCTGCAATGAAGCAAAAGTCAAACAAACACTCTCGTTGTTAGTCAAAAATGCAAAGAATTCCAAGAAGTCTGGATTAAATTCTTTGATGCAAAGGAACCGTGGCCTCACTTTCACTTGCAAGGACAATTGAACTTCATACCTTGCTGTCTTATTCATCGCGCTCTCTTTCCCTTCGTTCTTTGCTGAGCGGCTTGCCATTTTTGCAACTTCAGAGAAATTCAGTAAGTCAGCAAATTGCAACATTGGATGGATGAAGTTTCAAACACTCTTGTGTGTTGAAGGTTTTTTTGTCAGTCTGGTTYGTTTTGCAAAAGCGTCTGAACTGCGAGTGTATTTTAAAGCTTGTGTGGGAGATGAATTTGCGTTTCCAATCTTCAACGCAACTTTAAAGCGCTTTCAAGAAGAAGACCACGGAGCATTTTTTTGCCATGCGCAYACCACTTTTTTTTCTCTTCGTAGCGGTTCTCCATCTCAAAATTGAAAAAAAACTGCACAGGCCCGAATACCGGCCGGTTGGAAAAGATCATACCATTTTGGATTCGTCGAAATTTAGATCACGTGTAACTCCCATACATACTTATATGTGTAGAATCCTTATGTAAAGAGGAAGTCAGCCATGATGTCCTCGTGACCATTCAATAAGATGCAATGTCAGTTTTTTTGGTCAAACTTTTTGTGCAGGCATATATTTTTGGTGGCAAAAGAACATTCTGAGGGTTCTCCAGACACATTTTGAGTCAAAAATTCTGTGGAGAACCCCTCAAAAACAGATTTGGTAGCCTGCCCGTCTAGATTTTTTCCTCCACGCGTAGGAATTTGTTCAACTCCCACCTTTTTTTTGGTGGCGTTTGGTGCAACTCAACCTTCTTGCACCGGCCGGCTTGTTGGTAAAGTACACCATCTGTTGTTATTGTTCGTGGCACACCTGACTGACAATACCTTCTCTGTACGATTTCTACTGAGATCAATGGGTTCTGAAAATCTTCCGTGACATCTTCAATCTTCGAAGAAAGTGGATCCTTAGCGATTTTGCGATTTGATTTTGCGATTTTGCGATTTTATGCACCTCAAGCGATTTTATGCACCTCCACTTGTTGGTGTTGTTTTGCTCACAATATTTTTGCCAATCAACTTCAAAAGCAATCCAAAGAACTACCGTACCTCCCCCCCTCCACACACGTATCAAGCCTCCGTATCGATCGCCTCCCCATACGTATCCAGCCTCCCCATACGTATCGATCCTCCGTATCAAGCCTC